AAGAGGCATATGCGCATACATGGAGCGCTGATATACGCCGCTCTGGTCAATATCCGAGTTAATTAGAGTCTGAGGGGACGATTCGAGTTTCCGCGTATACACATTATCGTGCCCGGCCCGTTCTAAGCCCCGCATGAGTTGTGGTATTGCGCGCGGAAAAAAAGAGGAGGCCGACGAGCACCGGCGTGCCGGAGCTTATGAAAACAGTGGAAATTGTTCGGAACGACGATTCGAAAACCGAGTCGCGTGTGTCTTCCCTCGTACGCGACTCGATTATTCGTGCCCCATCGGGAAGCTTGCTTTCCATTTCTCTTTGCTAGACGACCGCTTGATAGTTTATGATAGGCCAACGCTTGTTTGTTACTTGGCATCTCAGATGGGAAGCGTTTTCTAATAGGTTTACGTAAATAAAGTTGAACTGTAATGTTAACCCCTTACCTGCTATTTACTTCTCGATACAACTATTTTGTCATTGATGATTTATTAAGGAGAAAATAAAATTATAGGCATATTCTCAATCTATGCTCTAAAGTGTAATAATTGATAACAGGAGAATAATATTTAACCCCTTATTTTAAGCCTATGATATATTTCTCAACTCTAGTCGATACGGCTGCTTTGTCATTAAGAATTTATTGGAAAAATAGAACAATTCTAAGCATATGTTACGCCTATATTTCCTTTTAAGTATAATAGTTGATTACAGAGGAAAGTATTTACTTTGAATTCGAATGAACTGAGTGATACACATATTTGTTGAATCACGTTGAAAATCTTCACCACGAGTCTAACTCGTTGTAGGGCAAAGAGTTAATTTGAATTCAAAAGAATCGAGCAAACGTCCATGTTGGTTCAATTCTAAGGCACGGGGTTAAAACAAGTTCCGCAGAATCTAGTTAAGCAGCACTATTTCAGGTTGCTATTCAACAGTAGAACTACCGTACCAGTCAGAATGACTGGTTCCGATGGTTTTGTTTTGTTATTAGTACCTTAAAAGCATTGAATATCTGAAATAATCTTGAAAATAAATAGCTTCACTTGAATACCATAATGAATGTTCGAATAAACCGAAAATAATTTATTGTTACAATTTTTATATTACATATCAATCGTTTTAAATCGGCGGTAGTTCTAGCGTTAACGTACATAACCCTAGAATCATCCATCAAACATCGAAACGAACTTCAAAATTTCCGTCCCTATATGCAGTTCTCAGAGTAGTTGGACAACCCTTCTTCACCCTCGCACACGTACACACCCAGGCGTCCGTGTCTAAAAGCGGCGCATTTCCAAACAACCACAAAGCACGACAGCACACTCGGAAAGTCGGCCGGTTTGCGTGGCCACAAACGGCCGCTGATTGAATGCGAGGGCGCATTAAATTTTACGACTTTTATCTGTTCACCCCGACGCGACGCCTACGTCGCCGGGCCAGACGAGAATCTCCAGCCCCGGCATTTTCGCCGAAACTTCTCTAACTTCTTTCCTTCCGGCCCCGTAATGGCCGCATTGTGCCGGCCGAACGGCTCCGGCCGCCTGCATCCAGCCTCCCGCCGAAACTTCACGCATTGTCGGGCGCGGCGACGCTCGTGTCTCGATCGCGTGCGGCGACACGCGCGCGACGAACACGTGGAGCCGCTCGGGCCACGGTTTTTCCCGATTTCCGCGGCCCGACCCCTTCCGAGACCTCTCCGGCGAACTTGCTCGGAGTTGTCTGCTCCAGCCAGATGCCCTCCGCCATCTGCTCCGCCCTCGCGCGCGCTTTCGAAGGGATTATACCGAATAAACGGGAACTTTCTCGCGTCGACGGACTGATCTCGGCGCGCGACTAAAACTTTTCCGAGTGATTCGTTTCCGATTCAGACCAGACCCCCTCCGCGCGCGCCGTTTCCTCTTCAATTGCAAGATTGGATTTTCCTCCGGGAACAGCCGGAGACTTTGCGCGGTGATCTCGCCGCGCGCGTCTGTCCGCTCGCCGAGATATTTGATTTAATCCCCGGGCCCCGCCGTCGGCCGTTCGTTAGACGCGATCGCGACGCTGCGACGTCGCGTCATCGAATTACGGATTTCGTGCGTTCGCTGCGCGTTGGAAAAATTCATCGCGAGTTTCGTTTCATTTGATTCTCGATGTTCGTTCTGTTTTCTGTTAGCTTCAATCGCGTTTCCAGTTGCTAGATTCAGTCGAATTCGCGTTGCTTCGGAGATACCTTGAGATTACAGGCGATTACCGCGAAATCATTGTTAGCGCGCAATGGGCCGCGACAGGTAATTTCGCGCAGGTTTCTTAATTGAAATTCATTCGCAGTTGTTCCGCGACTCTGCCGTGTAAAGTTTCCCTTATGTTTCACCAATAAAGTTAAACTACTCGATGTTTGTTCGTCAACAAACTGCCAATGACACCTGTTTGTCTTTCTCCCGTTCGTTTCGCTGGTCGCTTTTCTCTCGTTCGGTTCGTTAGCCCCTCGCTGCAGCTTCGTTTCCATTGCTTTCAAAGACGAGAACAGAGCGGAGGAACACTTGCAAACGTTTATAAGTTAGACCTTCTTCCATCTACAAATCCGTTGCAACGATTGCGCGCATAAATTCGTGGTCCCAACGGAGATCCCGTCTTTTCGGCGAGAACGTCTTCGCCGAGTCGGGAAATATACGGACTCGCGGAGGAGGAACATTATTAATATTCCGCGTCCCGGGGGACTCGTTCGCGAGCCAATAAATACATCCAACCGTCTATCCCGAAGATGGATTTTGACAAATCGCTGAAAGTTTTCCGCGTAGATCACACGGGAGACGTCACAACGGGCGAATTTCAACGGGAGAGGTTCCGCCCGTCGCGAAGCTTAGCTCCGGGTAATTTAAATCGGCGATACGCCCGCACACGACCTCGCGTAGCTTTTAAATTTACGAGCGGCTCGGAACCGGTTCGATCGGAATTCCATGCGTATCGGGAACACGCGGCAAGACTTTAATAATTCCCCCGTAATATCGAGTCGGATCGTGATACGATTGCGTGACGACGGTATGCAACGGGAAACGAAAGTTCCTCGCAACCTCGTCACGGCTGCCGCGGCCCCGCGATCGCTTTCCTTCTTTGCATCGAGATTTCCACCGACTCGCCGTACCAACCGTCATCCCAACACTATTAACGACCAAAAGAAATCGCGAGCATTTCGGTAGGCGGTGAATTCAAAGAAAACGAAGCTGCGCTCCATCGAACGACTTCCCTCCGTCGCGTTCGAATGCACCGACTAACGCCAGTTCCATCGATGAAGATCGAGTCCGCGCCACTTTTCTTCGTCCGATATAAATCGCTAACTTGGATTAAATTCCAGAAACTGCAATCCAATAACCGCATTCCGGCGCAAAATGTATCCGAAGGTTCCTGAAATTCCCTGCTCCGCCGCTAAATCTTTCCGGTGTATCGGGATTCCCTGATTTTTAACGCCGCGCGCCATTCCCGGAGCCTGCCGATAACGGGATAGGAACGGAAAGAGGGGAAAAAGGAGGAAAGAAACGGATCGGCGAACAATTTTTTCGTTTTTCATGCATCGCGCCTCGAACGCCGTATATCATTAATTTAATCGCGCGGACCGGGCGGCGGCGGCGGCGGAGGCGGCGGCGGGGATCGGTGCACGCTCGCCCGAGTGTATCGACGGTTTTCCTCGAATTAAAGTGCAGCGTACAGCGAACCAACCA